TGAGAGGATATCAAATTTAGGCAAGTGAAAGACGGATTTGAATGGGTGATAACCAATGTGTGTGGGCCAAATGATTACAGAGAAAAGAGGTTACTATGGGAAGAGCTAACTGACATAAGGGGTCTGTGGGATGGGCCGTGGTGCTTAGGAGGTGATTTCAATGTAATCAGATTTGTGGAAAAAAGAAACAACCCAAGATAGAGAACTACCACAAGTATGAGGAGATTTAACCAATTCATCGAGGCCTTTGATCTAAAGGAAATCCCATTATCACAAAGGTGTTATACATGGTCCAATCTTCAAACCAATCCAATTTTCTCTAAGTTGGATAGATTCCTATTTTCAAATGATTTAGAGGAATATTGGGGGGAATCTGAACTCTAAAGCACTTCCGAGGGTGACCTCCGATCATTGGCCTATTGTACTTTGCAAGGAGGAGGTGAGAAATGCAGGTCCTGCTCCATTTAGATTTGAAAACATGTGGTTAGAGCACTCGGAGTTCATTAAGAAAGTAGAAGAGTGGTGGTCTGAAAGTAATCCTGTAGTGGTGTGGTGTGGAATGCAGTTTCATGAAAAACTCCAATACCTAAAAGGAAGAATCAAGGAATGGAATCTATTAGAGTTCGGGAGATTGGAGGAAAGAAAGTAGAGTGCGATCTTAGAAATCGAAGATCTGGACAACAAAGAAGGGAAAGGCAACCTAACTGTAGAGGATAACAAAGATGGAGATTGCGTAAACAGTTAGAGGATTATAGTCTTTAGGAGGAAATAAGTTGGAGGTAGAAGTCAAGATGCAAGTGGCTAAAAGAGGGGGATAGGAACACTAGGTTCTTTCATGCCTTGGCAAGTGGCAGAAGGAGAAGAAATTTCACTACAAGTTTGGAGATTGAAGGGGAATCTATCACAAGTCAAAGAGAAATTGCAAAAGCATTTGCAGATCATTTTAGGCATATATTTAGAAGGCCCCTGAATAAAAGGGTGTGGCTGGAAGGATTGGATTGGCCAACACTAAAGAGAGAAGATAGGGAGTGGCTGGAAAAGAAGTTTGAGTTGGAAGAAATAAAAGAGATGGTTTTCTCAATGGATAGATCAAAGGCTCCAGGCCCAAATGGTTTTACGATGGCTTTTTACCAGGACTGATGGGAGATAATAATGGAGGACTTAATGTTGGTATTTGATGAATTCCATACCAGAGGAGTAATCAACCCTGGGTTAAACTCCACCTTCCTTGCTTTGGTCCCCAAGAAAAGTGATGCAAATACTCCAAATGATTACAGGCCGATCAGTCTAGTAAATAGCCTTTACAAGATCATCACTAAGGTGCTGTCCCTTAGAGTTAGAAAGGTGCTTCCAGCTATCATATCTAGCAATAAAGAAGCGTTTGTGAAGGGGAGGCAAATAATAAATCAGATACTGGTAGCAAATGAGAGTTTAGAGGACTATAAGAGATCGAGGAGAAGAGGTGTGGTCTGTAAATTAGATCTGGAAAAGGTGTATGACTTGGTTGATTGGTCTTTTTTATTGGAGGTGATGATTAACTTTGGCTTTGGAGATATCTGGTGTAAATGGGTGATGGGTTTCATTAAAGATTGCCATTATTCCATTTTGGTGAATGGGACAACAGTGGACTATTTCCTAGCCTTGAGGGGGACTAGACAAGGTGACCCCTTATCCCCTTTCTTGTTTACATTGGTAGCAAAAGTGTTGGGGGGACTAATTTCTAAAGCAGATTCCAGGGGGTTAATAAGAGGGTGGAGAGTTGGAAGAGATAGTATACCATTTACACATCTACCATTTGCAGATGACATAATTTTGTTTTGTGAAGGAGGGGATATCAATTGGATTAGGAACTTGAAGCTCACTATACAACTTGTTGAGCAGATGTCAAACCTGAGGGTGAACTTTGAGAAAAGTTGTATAGTTGGAGTCAATATGGGGGAAGGGGAGATTGGTGAGTATGCAAACATGCTGGAATGTGTAGTCTCTAATTGGCCATTAAATTACCTTGGTCTACCTTTGGGGGATAATCCTCAGAAAGGTGATTTTTGGGCCCCTGTTGTGGAGAAATTTGAAAAGAGACTTGCTAATTGGAAGAAAAACTATTTGTCTCTTGGAGGGAGAATCACTTTAATAAGGTTTACTCTGGCTAACCTCCATGTTTATTTTTTGTTAGTTTTTAAGATTCTGGCTAAGGTGGCTAGTAGACTGGATAAACTAATGAGAGACTTTCTTTGGGAGCCAGGGGAGGAGAAGAAGGTTCATAGGGTTAGGTGGAAGATAGTATGTAGGGGCAAAAAGGAGGGAGGTTTGGGGATTGGGAACATTAGAGCTAGGAATTTAGCATTACTAGGGAAATGGTTGTGGAGGTTCTCGGTGGAGAAAGAAAAATTGTGGGTTAAGATAATGTGAAGTATACATGGGCTGGTAGACAATGGATGAGATTCTGGGATTCTAGTTAGGGCCACAACAACTTCTCCTTGGAAAGCAATTCAAGCCATTTTGCCCTTGTTCTCTCCATGGATCAAGTATGATTTGCACTCGGGTAACCTCATTAAATTTTGGGAACATGTCTGGGTTTGGGACTTCTCATTGAAAGATAAATTTTTAAGCCTTTATGCTATCTCTACCTTTAAAAATGAACCAGTTTCCTCATTTCTTGTTCCTTCTAATTCACCTTCTGGGTTTGGATGGAATTTCAGTCTGAGAAGAGATGTCAGGGACACTGAGTTAGCCTGTACTTTAGCCTTACTTTCCATTCTTGAAGGAGTTTTCATTGAGCCAGTAAAGCCTGATAGCAGAATATGGACACTCACTCCCTCGGGTTATTACACTTGTGCCTCCTTCTTTAGAGCACTGTTACCCTCTCCTCTGGTTGGATTATCTTTTCCTGTCAAAGATGTATGGTGTCGACCTATACCTCCAAAGGTTGGGAGCTTCTGTTGGGAAGCTTTTTTGGAAAGAGTTAATACAAGGGATCTACTCCAAAGAAAAAGACCCAACAATTGTTTATCTCCTCACTGGTGTGTTCTCTGTAAATCTGATGGTGAGTCTAGATACCATTTACTAATTTCTTGTCAGTTTGTTAAGGTTATTTGGGAATGGTTTACTTCTTTGTTTGGGTGCAGATGGACTCCTCCTTTGAATGTGCAAAGCTTATTTACTTCCATGCCCAACTAGCCAACCAAAATGGCCAAGATCATGTGGAGATGTGGTAGGGTTGCGATATATTGGACTGTTTGGGAGGAAAGAAACTCAAGAATATTCTTAGATAAGGAGAGAAGTATGGATGAAATCCTTGAGACAATCCACATCAGGATGATACATTGGTTGATAACATTGAAATTGTTTAAAGTGTTCTCAGTTGATAAGATGATAAGGAGCTGGAAGGAGATTGCAAAAACAGGCTCAAGCAGGAAGAACATAAACTTTTACTGGACACCTCCACCTCATGGGTTCACCAAATTGAATTTCGATGGTAATAGCATAAGCAATTCAGAGCCTTTTGGAATAGGGGGAGTAATAAGGGATGAAGCAGGAAATTTGTTGGCTATGTACTTTGGTCCGATTGGGGTAGGAGACTCTTTGAGGGCTGAGATTCTAAGAGCTATTGAAGGGATACAAAGGGCCAAATAACAAAATATTAAAAAGCTGATTATAGAAGGTGATTCTAAAATTGAGGTGAATTGGCTATCAGAGGACAGTTCTATGCTCTGGAGATACAACAATGAAAAGAAGAAATTCAAGTGGTTCACAAGGACATGAAAATACATTATACATGGATAAAGAGAATTACAAATGCATTGATAGATGGTTTAGCTAAACAAGGGGTAAACAGGAATATTATGTTCTGGGCTGTTTTGTAATTGTAATTGTAATTGCTTCATGGTCAGAATGTACCTTAGGTAGTTGGGAGTTAAAGACTATTTAGCTCCCTCCTTTGTAATTCTGATTATCTAATTCCTTACTAATAAAAGTTCATTGTTATTGATAAAAAAAGGATAAACATCGAAGAAAATAGAGTAACTAAAATAGTTATTTATATATCTTTAGGGTACACTTTTGGGTGGCACTTGGTAAACATTGAAGAAAATGGAGTAACTAAAATAGTTATTTATACATCTTTAGGGTAAATCTATGACGCTGGAAAGGTATGATACTGGAAGTGCTTTGACCAATCAAGAACCTCTGAACTTTGATGATTATCACCTGGTATGGTTTCCACCTTTATGATACTGGTTGGCAGTTTATTAAGCTCTTCTGTTATTATGTGTTTTTGGTATCATGGTTGAACCCACCATATTAAATTTCTAAAATGTGATGGTATAATAATAGAAGACCAGATCTGCTGATTACAACACATTAGCCACATTCACAAAACCACACATCAGGAATATTGAAGATCTGAATTACAATAGATGTTCTTGATGCGCGGCTGTATGCGGCTAGCAATGTGTTGTGGTTAGCAGATTCAACTCTTATAATAGAACTTCGATCAATCAATAGCCCCGTAACTTTTATTGAATACAGACTAAGTTGCTACCGACTTTATGAGTTTGGTTCATCGGTTTTTGTTTTTTGGGTATCATGCTTTTTCAGTATCATAATTGGGCTTTTGTTTTGATATTTATAAATAAAATTTGTAATAATTTTTTAACATTTATTAATAGACATAGTCCAAGAAGAGAAAATGGTTGAATGCTAAGATTTTTATTGGTTTTAAAACAAAGAAAACTAAAACTTTTTTATTTTTTAAATTAATTACTTTTAACTTTTAAAATACATGTTCTAAAAAACCATGGATAGTTGGATTCAGGACTAGGTTATCGTTTATCATTGTCGTTGCTTTCTGCTTGTAATTGGGCAAGGTCACTCATCTGGGTCAGACAATATACACCAAAATAAAAAAGAAGCCATAAATGAATTGACAAAAACATTTGAAGAGACAAAATTCTTCTACAAATCAAAAAACAAAACAGAAAAATAGTGAATCAAACTTGGGGTTGTAGTACAAGCAGCAGCAGGAATAATCCCGCCTTTGCATTTTTCTTTTGATAAGTAAAAGAAGATTTCATTAACTTAAGAGGCATTATAAGCATCCCAAGAAGAGGCGTGAGATGCAGCCTCTCGCAAAAGTCTATAACAAAACAATTACAATTGATCCCAGTACAAACAACCCCTATTGGCCTCTTGTTTGGCTAGTGTATCAGCGCAAACATTGTCCAACCTTCTCATCCATTGTATTCTCAATACTCCCACCTCTGCATTACATCATAGATGCTATATTATCCGTATTCCTCTTTGAGCAAGTGGAACATACCGGCAGTTGTCTTCTGCTCTTTCCAGTTAATGTTGGATAATCTCTGTAGGTGTTTGATCATGATGCAAAACAACTTCCAGACTTCCAATTTCCACATCTCCCTTGTTGCTTTGTGGGTCAGAGTGGTCACTCCACACCACTAAGAAACTCAACTCTTCAAGACATTGAGTGGGTCATGTCTAATACAGTCTGATTTATCTTGCAAATCTTTCACCAAGCAGACATTTCCAGATGAGGATTATTCTTGATATCTGTGAAGGAAAGCAACATCATAACTGAAGATTGAAGATCATTCTCAAATATAGCATTGTGTGGCAGTGGCAATAGGTGGATCAAACATGTCCAGTGGAGATGATGGCAAGGTCTTTTGTCAATTCTAGATAGAGACATTGTGTTAATAAAAAAAATTTCCTTGTGCCACTCGGGGAACCTGGGATGACACAACGTTCCAGATATGTGGTGGATAATGCTCTATTGTCTGAAATCTTTTTTCTTCCATTTTTTTACATGGATATGTTGATTTTCTATGTTTTAAATGAAGTATATATATATATATATATATATATATATATATTATGGAGATTCTAGACAATTAATAGTAAAAGATGGCTCTTTCTTGCTATGGAACTTGAGGATTACCCTAAGGGCCTGTTCGTTTCCTCTTAACTCTCATCTCTTAAGAGGAATCTTTTAACTTTAAGAGAAAAATGGTTGTTCGTTTCCTCTTATCTCTTACCTCTTAAAGTGCAACCATACAACTTATTGTTTTTCAATGATACCCCCAAAAAAGACAACAAAAAACTCTCATATGGGGTCAAAATAGATATATGATAATTTTCAGAATTCAGAACATTCTCTGCATCCAGAGAGGAAAGAAAAATTCACCAATACCAATATACCTCTGAATGTAATTATTGCACTTTCAGATGTCAGATTTCAGAGCAAACAAACAGGCTCTAAGATTCATAGTTTTTATTCACAAAAACCCATCACCTAAGTTAATAGGCGACACTTAATAGTGAAAGATGGGTTTTATTAAAAAAAAAAAACCTCATCACCTAGCCTTGCCTCGATTCCTTGAAAGCTATGCCTCTAAGGTCCACTCCCTTTGACAATCAAGAAATAAAAATATAGCTTAGCATGTAGAGCAATGAGTTCACATGGTCACAACACTTTCTTTTGCCCCTCCAATGAAACACAACATGATATCAACCAAATGAATAACCAAATCACTCACTGAGTGCTTGCATGGGTGATTTGGCTTCAATATGTTCACATGGTCACAATACTTACTTGCAGCCCTCTAACAAGACATAGACAAGCTATTAAAAACAAAAAATCAAATTATCTAGTGAGTGCATCCTACTGTTGCTACCCCAAATGAACTCGCTAACAAATGAAACAATAGAGGTTACCTCTAGGGTTTACCGCCTTACTATTTTTTTTTGATCAATAACTGAAAACTTGCATTAAATAAAATTATCATAGTAAGGTTTACTGCCTTACTATGACAATTTAGAAATACCAAGGTAGCCTAACATGTTGAATGATGGGTTAACACAACCACAATACTTTAATTCAACCCTCCAATGAAATGCAAGCATGCTATCAATCAAATGAAAAGAAAAAGAAAAAACAAAATCACTGAATGAGTGCATGCCTAGGTGATTTGATTTTGATGAGTTCACATAGCCAAAACACTTCCTTGAAACCCTACAATCAAACATAAGCGTTTTAAGAACGACCCACTAGCCTAGGAAGAAAAATAGAAGGTATACTACCTTATTATGTCAATCATGAAATGCCAAGGTATCCTAACATGTGTTGTGATGTGTTCACATAGTCACAATACCCTAACATGATATCAATCAAAAGAAAAACCAAATCACTCATGCCTGGGAGAATTGATTTCAATGAGTTCATGTAGCCACAACACTTTCTTGTGACCCTTAAAGAAGTCATGGACATGCTAATAATCAAATTTAAAACCAAATCACCTTGTGAGTGCATGCCTTGGTGATTTGGTTTTGATTAGTCTGCATGGTCACAACACTTTTTTGCAACCCTCCAATAAAATGTAAACATTCTATCAATCAAATGAAAGACAAATTACTCATTGAGTGCATGCTTATTGTTGTTACCCCAAATGATACATGAACTACCCGCTTATCATATGAAAAAATGGAGATTACCTCTAGGATTCACTACCTCACTAGGAATATCAAGAAATATAAAGGTAGCCTAACATGTGGAGCAATGCGTTCAAATAATCACAACACTTTCTTGTGGCCTCTAAAAAAACCCAGACATACTAAAGTCAAAGGATAAATCAAATCACCCTTTGAGTACATGCCTAGGTGATTTGGTTTTCATGAATTCACATAGTCACAACAATTTCTTGTGACCATCCAATAAAACTCAAACATGTTGGTATCAATCAAATGAAAAACCAAATAACCCAACAAAGGCATGTCTGTTAGTGAAACACCACATGATACAAGAACAATCCACTATCATATAAAATAGACTACTTCTAGGATATACTATGACAATTAGGTAATACCAAGGTAGCTTAACATGTTTAAGTGACGCCTAGGCAATAAGATGCTCATGGAGGGTTGCCTCAATTGCCAAGATATTTTTACACGGTGCTCTTGGATATTTTTATATTCTAATTTTCTTTTTATTATTTTTCTTATTTGTTAGGGTTTAATCAAGATGTATACTATCCTGAACCTCGAAGACTTCAAAACATGAACTAATAAGCATGGAAGAACTCAAAATTTTGTCCAATCAACACATTGATTTTTCTTCTTCTTTCATCTTTTTTCACCATTCTTCTTTTCCTAGGACAAAAGTAGAAGCTTAGACCCTCTATTTTCTGAAACTTCTTTTTTTTTTGATAACTATTTTTCTGAATTTTCTTTTCTTTCTCCCACTTTTTTCATGAATATGTTGATTTTCCATGTTTTAAATGAAGTTTATACTTTTTTTTATGAAGATTATAGACAATTAGTAGTGAAATATGGTTGTTACTTGCTATGGAGCCTAGGGAATTACCCTAGGGTTCATGATTTTTATTCAAAAAATCCCATTTGCCTAGGCAAAGGCAACAAGCCCCCCCACCTAGCCTCGCCTTGGCACCTTGAAAACTATGATTGGGACTTGGAATTTGATCAGTCCATCTTAAGATCTACAAAGCTAATAATTAAAATAATCATCGTCATTTAAGCCTTATCCCAACTATATGGGGTCAGCTATTGGCCTATGGATAACAGTTCACATAACTTTTTCCATGCAGTCTTCAAGCATCTTATATATACCAACTTCCAATGGTAGGCTGAACCTATATTGCAATTAGACACTTGTGGAAGATCACCATGTTAGATACTCCAAAAAAGGTGATAGGGTTCACTTAAGCAGGGGATTTTTCATGGTTCAGTTTAGCAGGTCATCATCTTTTCAGTGTTTGACACATTGGTACACCCCATTTTAAATTTCATCAAGCTTCAAAAGCTTGAGGAAAGATCCAAAGGTGCTTCCAAACTTCCAAATCATCCCACTAAGTAAAAGAAAAGACAAAAGAAAATAATTACTTTCAAACAACATGATCAACTAGGATGCAAAAGAAATAGCATTTTACCTACTTCCACCATGAATGCTGTTCAAATGTGCCACAAGCAAGTCATTCCAAGAATCTGTAATTCCTGGCAAGCACCAATGCATGCAATCATCATGTTTCTTGCCACCTGTAGTTGATGGATGGGCATCTGCTCTGAACTCACTCATGTGGGTGATATCCAGGATGTGGAAACTGGAACCTTCTAAGGCCTTGAACAAATGCTGGTTCACCAGGCGTGCCTCCACATTTGTTCCATTGTTCTCTAAGGAGAAAAGTTGTTCAACCTGCAATAGAGATTCTCAAAGGTTCAAATACTTGGGTAAACATTCTTTTTCAGGTTTCTTCCTTCCAGCAATAAATTTAGAAGATGTAAGATATATATATATATATATATATATATATATATATATTATATATATATATATACACACACATATGTGTATGTATGTATGTATGTATGTCTGTGTGTGTGTGTGTGTGTGTGTGGTTAGGTAAGAAAGGTCTCAAGGCTTAATCACAAGAATTGTAGATTTATCCCAAAATGGTGAAAGTTTTCAAATTGTGGAAAATAGGTCTAGGTTGGAATTTATCAATGAAATTTGTATGTAGTTTTGTCTTAAGATAGAATGTAAGGGGTGACCAAGTTTGGTTAGGTCTGTCCTTTTATGCATGATATATTCCAGACCTAACCAAACTTGGTCACCCCTTACATTCTATCTAAGGCAAAACTACATACAAAATTCCCTGCGAGTTTGGGAGCTCCCTTAGCCCATCAGGTTGAGTTAACCAATTGGGCCTATCCAACACCACTGGCCCAGGCAACCTTTCCACATTTCTCACCTTGGGGCCCCTAAACCACTACTCATTTGGGGTCACCCGAGCTTGGAGAGCAAACTAGACCTTGCGCTCCCAACCTCGAAGAGACCTTCCTTTCAGCACTTGAGAAGGCCCGACCCAACCTCTCCTCTTGACCACCCACTTCAGTAGACCTCCCCAAACCCTTCAGACCAGCACCACCTGGAGAAGAAATGTGTCCCACTCCCAACTCCTTTAAGCAGTTCTTAATCTTTAAGCAAATTTAGTGCTTCTCCCCCTTTGGCCACCAAATTTAACATTTGAATTGCTTGTCTCTCCCTGATCGCCTCCAAACTGTTTGATGTAAATTTTATCGAATGGCTGGAAGCCTGGAACTAGTTTCCTTCAAAGAACACCCCACCTCCATAGGAGTAGCCCTACCCATCCAGTACTTTTCCAGTACAGAAATCTCTGCCACCACCAGACCATCTTCCTTCCTTCCGGCACCTCCAAGGTTGCACTCTCCCCGCATAGAATTAGCCAATGTTCACCTTTGAAAATTACGGCCAACGTAGCCCACCCAAAGCACCTGACTGCAAACCTCCCTTAGAAGGCATGTGCTTCTTCAGATTAACACATGGTCTTTTTTCCTACCAAATCCACATCGAGAAGACAACATCACCTGCCACAAGGTCCACTTTCTTTAGGACAGCACTGCCCATTTTTGCCCTTATTCTAACCCATTCAAAAGTGCAAAGCTCCTCTGGTCAAGGTTTAAAGTATTGATATGTCTGATATGCACGGATAGGCGTATTGGGCGTTTCGATACTTCATAACCTTTGTTTTTAGTTTTTCTTTTCAAAGTTGTGGGGGTCGGTTTTATGCTTGCCTACCCCTTGAAAGTGGCCAGATTCTGAAAGACCCCTTATTTGGGGTTTCAGGGAGCTACTGATACGATACAAATATACAATACACCCAATACGGGGTGTATCATATTGAAGTTTTGAACCTTGCCTCTGGTGAATCATCAATCTCAAGGAAGCCCCCACAGAGATCTCCTAATGCCTTCATAACACCCAAACACCATAGAACTAGAGGAGCCCAAAAACACTAGTCCAGATAGAGTCTAGTTTGTCTTCCACTCCTTCAGATTCTAGTAAGAAACAACCTGCACTTACTCCCACAGATCTAATAGTAAGGAATTCTCCCCCATTTTTCAGGGACCGTCCTGTAACACCTAGTTTGACTTCCAAACCAAAGGCAAAATAAACAAAAAGAGGCCCTGAATCAACTTTTTAACTTGAACTCCAGGCACTTGCACCCACACTCGATTGGCCCAGTTCTTCACTTCCTCTACCCCTACTACGGTTTCAAACCTTCCCACTAAACAACCTTTGAGAAACTCCCTCCTTGCCTCCACTCTCCTCTTCATTGTTTCAAGGAACCAATTTTCTCCATCCATTCAAATAAACATCTCCCCAAAATCCGACCAAGCACCAACGATAACGATTAACTGCATAAATAAAAGAAAAGTTTTGCCTCATTCCTACTCCACTTCTACCCTTGTTGTACCATGAGTCTACCCCCAACCATATCTTTTTTGGGCCCCCCGAAACCTCCCCTACCCACCATATCTTTCCTCCTGAAAAAACCTTATCGCCAAAACCCCCCACACAAAGCTACTGTCCTCCAAGACAACATTAACTTCTCTCAACCAAGCAAGATGACAAAGAGCATTCCCTGCAACGTTTGTCTGACTAGCTTCCATTGGTCTTTGGTCATCGATCATATCAAGCACAAACCTTGCTAGTTGCTACAATACCACAAGCCCCATAGAGAACATGCTGTTAGAATGCTCGAGTCAGGGGTATTTTGGTCATTCT